ACCTTAAAATTATGTCTAGTCTTTTCTTAATTCTGAAATCACTACAGCATCTATGGTTATGTCCCTCTTTTTTTTTTCTTTTTTTGAGACAGAGTCTTGCTCTGTCACCCAAGCTGGAGTAGAGTGGTACAATCTTGGCTCACTGCAACCTCCGCCTCCCGGGTTCAAGCAATTCTCGTGCCTCAGCCTCCAGAGTAGCTGGGATTACAGGAGCCCGCCACCACATCCAGCTAATTTTTGTATTTTTAGCAGAGATGGGGTTTCCCCATGTTGACCTAAGTGGTCTCAAACTCCTGGCCTCAAGTGATCCACCCACCGCAGCCTCCCAAAATTTTGGGATTACAGGCGTGAGCTGCCACACCTGGTGTGTCCTTCATTTTTAGTATTATTTTTGCCTTCTCTCTTTTCCTCTTTCTAGAGGTTTATTTCATTAGACTTTAATAGAGCTGACATTAGCTTTATTAACTCTGGTGGGGAGGGTTGTTTGCTTGGTTTTCTCATTTTAACTTCTTTTATATTTCATTTTCTTCTTCTTGCTTCATTTGGCATTTTCCAGCTTTTAAAGCTAATCAATGAATTTATTTTTAGCTCATTTTTCTTTTCTGAAATAAAAAATATTTCAGTAAATTCATCCCACTAACTTTGATATGGACTGGCTTTAATAAAAATATTATTTTATAGTATTTTTCTCTTTTCTTATAACCAAGAATTATTTACACATAATTTTATTTTCAAATGTTTGATATTTGAATTCCCTTCACTTTTTTTCTTTACTGATACATAATAGATGCATATATTTTGGGAGTACAGGTAATAATATATTAATATAAAGAACACATCAGTGTAACTGGCATATTCATCACCTTAAATATTTGTCATTTCTTCATCGGTTTGCTTATCTTTGCTATTATTACCTTGTGATGTTTGATTATAGTGGGTATGAAATTAGATCTTTAAAATTAAGAGGGAATTATTTTGTCCTAATACCTAGATAATTTCTAAAAAGCTGAAAATCTTTTAGTACATGAGTTTAATTGATTTATATTTGTTAGGGCTATTGAAATATTTGTATTGGTTACTGTAGCCTTGTAGTATAGTTTGAAGTCAGGTAGTGTGATGCCTACAGCTTTGTTCTTTTGGCTTAGGATTGTCTTGGCAATGTGAGCTCTTTTTTGGTTCCATATGAACTTTAAAGGAGATTTTTCCAGTTCTGTGAAGAAAGTCATTGGTAGCTTAATGGGGATGGCATTGAATCTATAAATTACCTTGGGCAGTATGGTCATTTTCACAATATTGATTCTTCCTATCCATGAGCATGGAATGTTCTTCCATTTGTTTGTGTCCTCTTTTATTTCATTGAGCAGTGGTTTGTAGTTCTCCTTGAAGAGGTCCTTCACATTCCTTGTGAGTTGGATTCCTAGGTATTTTATTCTCTTTGAAGCAATTGTAATGGGAGTTCACTCATGATTTGGCTCTGTTTGTCTGTTATTAGTGTATAAGAATGCTTGTGATTTTTGCACATGATTTTGTATCCTGAGATTTTGCTGAAGTTGCTTATCAGCTTAAGGAGATTTTGGGCTGAGACAATGGGGTTTTCTAAATATACAATCATGTCATCTGCAAACAGGAACAATTTGACTTCCTCTTTTCCTAACTGAATACCCTTTATTTCTTTCCCTTGCCTGATTGCCCTGGCCAGAACTTCTAACACTATGTTGAATAGGAGTGGTGAGAGAGGGCATCCCTATCTTGTGCCAGTTTTCAAGGGGAATGCTTCCAGTTTTTGCCCATTCAGGATGATATTGGCTGTGGTTTTGTCACAAATAGCTCTTATTATTTTGAGATACGTTCTATCAATACTGAATTTATCGAGAGTTTTTAGCATGAAGGGCTGTTGAATTTTGTCAAAGGCCTTTTCTGCATCTATTGAGATAATCATGTGGTTTTTGTCTTTGGTTCTGTTTATATGCTGGATTATGTTTATTGATTTGCGTATGTTGAACCAGCCTTGCATCCCAGGGATGAAGCCCACTTGATCATGGTGGATAAGCTTTTTGATGTACTGCTGGATTTGGTTTGCCAGTATTTTATTGAGGATTTTTGCATCGATGTTCATCCGGGATATTGGTCTAAAATTCTCTTTTTTTGTTGTCTCTGCCAGGCTTTGGTATCAGGATGATGTTGGCCTCATTAAATGAGTTAGGGAGGATTCCTTCTTTTTCTATTGATTGGAATAATTTCAGAAGGAATGGTACCAGCTCCTCCTTGTACCTCTGGTAGATTTCGGCTGTGAATCCGTCTGGTCCTGGACTTTTTTTGGTTGGTAGGCTATTAATTATTGCCTCAATTTCAGAGCCTGTTATTGGTCTATTCAGGAATTCAACTTCTTCCTGGTTTAGTCTTGGGAGAGTTTATGTGTCCAGGAATTTATCTATTTCTTCTAGGTTTTCCAGTTTGATTGCATAGAGGTGTTTATAGTATTATCTGATGGTAGTTTGTATTTCTGTGGGGTCGGTGGTGATATCCCCTTTATCATTTTTTATTGCATCTATTTGATTCTTCTCTCTTTTCTTCTTTATTAGTCTTGCTAGCGGTCTATCAATTTTGTTGATCTTTTCAAACAACCAGCTCCTGGATTCATTGATTTTTTAAAGGTTTTGTTGTATCTCTATCTCCTTCAGTTTTGCTCTGATCTTAGTTATTTCTTGCCTTCTGCTAGCTTTTGAATGTGTTTGCTCTTGCTTCCCTAGACCTTTTGATTGTGATGTTAGGGTGTCCATTTTAGATCGTTCCTGCTTTCTCTTGTGGGCATTTAGTGCTATAAATTTCCCTCTACACACTGCTTTAAATGTGTCCCAGAGATTCTGGTATGTTGTGTCTTTGTTCTCATTGGTTTAAAAGAACATCTTTATTTCTGCCTTCATTTCGTTATGTACCCAGTAGTCATTCAGGAGCAGGTTATTCAGTTTCCATGTAGTTAAGTGGTTTTGCTTGAGTTTCTTAATCCTGAGTTCTAGTTTGATTGCACTGTGGTCTGAGAGACAGTTTGTTCTTTTACATATGCTGAGGAGTGCTTTATTCCAACTATGTGGTCAATTTTGGCATAAGTGTGATGTGGTGCTGAGAAGAATGTATATTCTGTTGATTTGGGGTGGAGAGTTCTATAGATGTCTATTAGGTCTGCTTGGTGCAGAGTTGAGTTCAATTCCTGGATATCCTTGTTAACTTTCTGTCTCGTTGATCTGTCTAATGTTGACAGTGGGGTGTTAAAGTCTCCCATTATTATTGTATGGGAGTCTAAGTCTCTTTGTAAGTCTCTAAGGACTTGTTTTATGAATCTGGGTGCTCCTATATTGGGTGCATATATATTTAGAAAGTCAGCTCTTCCCGTTGAGTTGATCCCTTTACCATTATGTAATGGCCTTCTTTTTCTCTTTTGATCTTTGTTGGTTTAAAGTCTGTTTATCAAAGACTAGGATTGCAACCCCTTCCTTTTTTTTGTTTTCCATTTGCTTGATAGATCTTCCACAGCATGGTACTGGTACCAAAACAGAGATATAGACCAATGGAACAGAACAGAGCCCTCAGAAATAATACCACACATCTACAACCATTTGATCTTTGACAAACCTGACAAAAGACAAAAAATGGGGAAAGGATTCCCTATTTAATAAATGGTGCTGGGAAAATTGGATAGCCATAAGTAGAAAGCTGAAACTGAATCCTTTCCTTACTCCTTATATGAAAATTAATTCAACATGGATTAGAGACTTAAATGTTAGACCTAAAACCATAAAAACCCTAGAAGAAAACCTAGGTAATACCATTCAGGACATAGGCATGGCAAGGACTTCATGTCTAAAACACCAAAAGTAACGGCAACCAAAGCCAAAATTGACAAATGGGATCTAATTAAACTAAAGAGCTTCTGCACAGCAAAAGAAACTACCATCAGAGTGAACAGGCAACCTACAGAATGGGAGAACATTTTTGCAATCTACCCATCTGACAAAGGGCTAATATCCAGAACCTATAAAGAACTCAATCAAATTTACAAGAAAAAAACAAACAACCCCATCAAAAAGTGGGCAAAGGATATGAACAGATACTTCTCAAAAGAAGACATTCATATAGCCAACAGACACATGAAAAAATGCTCATCATCACTGGCCATCAGAGAAATGCAAATCAAAACCACAGTGAGATACCATCTCACACCAGTTAGAATGGCAATCATTAAAAGTCAGGAAATAACAGGTGCTGGAGAGGATGTGGAGAAATAGGAACAGTTTTACACTGTTGGTGGGACTGTAAACTAGTTCAACCATTGTGGAAAACAGTGTGGTGATTCCTCAAGGATCTAGAACTAGAAATACCATTTGACTCAGCCATCCCATTACTGGCAGTATACCCAAAGGATTATAAGTCATGCTGCTATAAAGACACATGCACACGTATGTTTATTGTGGCACTATTCACAATAGCAAAGACTTGGAATCAACACAAATGTCCATCAGTGACAGACTGGATTAAGAAAATGTGGCACATATTCACCATGGAATACAATGCAGCCATAAAAAAGGATGAGTTCGTGTCCTTTGTAGGGACATGGATGCAGCTGGAAACCATCATTCTCAGCAAACTATGGCAAGAACAGAAAACCAAACACCGCATGTTCTCACTCATAGGTGGGAATTGAACAATGAGAACACTTGGACACAAAAAGGGGAACATTACACACCAGGGCCTGTTATGGAGCAGGGGGAGTGGGGAGGGAAAGCAATAGGAGATATACCTAATGTAATTGACGAGTTAATGGGTGCAGCACACCAACATGGCATATGTATACATATGTAACAAACCTGCACATTGTGCACATGTACCCTAGAACATAAAGTATAATAAAATAAATATTTGTAGTAATTTCTTATATCTTCTCTTTTTAATTTTTAGGTTTTTTATTTTCTAATTTCTGTTGAGTGGGTTGAATTTTGTGCCTTTTTAAAATTGCTTGGAAGTTATGTGTTTCATTTGTATTATTTTTGCTTCCCTTTCTTATTAACAAACATGCTATAATATTTTTCTGGCAAAATCTAAATTTAATTAGTACTTGCCCTCCCAAACAAGACACTTTAGCTTACCTACAATAGTCCCAGCAAGGAACCTATCTATCCCAAACTCCCAAGGTGGTATTACTAGGAATCTGGAATTTTAATTCCAATTTATAACACACACACGTGCACGTGTATGCACACACAAACACACACACACTTTTTCCAGGTAGTATTTATTTAGATCTAGCAATATATTTTCTTTTCTTTTTTTTTTTTTCTTTCTTCTACCTGCCTGTCTTGCCCATTTTTTTCCTTTCAGTTAGGCTGGGATCATCCTAACTCCTACTGTGCCCAGCTGTGGTCTTTCAGTGGCAAACCATCTGAGTTCTAAGCTTCATTTCGTTCTTACTCTTGAATGATGGTTTTGGATTCTAGGTGTTTTCCCCTCAGAACTTTTTCAGTTTTACTCAGCCCTTTAAAGGTGTTACTCCATTGTCTTCTGGAATTTACTGCTGTGATAAGAAACGTGATATTAGTCTCTCTCCATCTGTGTCTCATACGTGATCTGCCTTTGTCTCTTTTCCTTTCAGGATGCTCCCATTACACTTCATCTCTGAGGTTCTGCTATGAAGTAGCTGAGATTCCAGGGAAACTTTCCTATGAGTTTATAAGCTTTAGTCTATTCCAAGGCTTTACTGAGAAAATAATCATATTATTCATTCAGTTTCTTGGTTAGTTGTAATTTCAAATAGGATAAAATTTTGTTTTGTGAGTTCTGCATAGGATAAAGGATCAAAATTTACTGCTAAAAAATATGTGGATACCTCCATCTGTTTTTTCCCTAAACCTAGAAAATAAGGCAGAGAAATGGATAAATCAATACTGTTTCTGGCCTTTAGAAATTTATTACTTTGTGGTTTTCCAGCCCTAAAAAGAATTAGAAGCTATTTGGATTATATCCAACTATATTATTTAACAACTGAGTATATCAGCAAACCAACTCACAAAAGATTTTCAGGTCACTTTATAAGGGAAACTATTTCCACGATTTTAGTAAAGTTCTAAAAAGTCAGTTTAATCAGACACAGCACACAAAGGCTTTATGAAATTAGAAATCCAAGAACAGCATATCAATGAAGTGACCTTAATTTGCCTATCGTCCTTTATACAATTTGGGATTGGATATAAAATTGTTCTACCTCCTTGATCATTAAATGTGCTAGTCCATTAATGCAATTTTGGCAATACTAGATTCATAGTGTTATATTCCAGACTCTTACTGAAAAGACAGTGTTGGGGGAAAAATTAAATGTATATATTACTTTATCATTCCAAAAGTGGTTTCTCATTCATTATCTCATCATTCCTAGTAATGATATGGAGAAAGTATTACTGTTCTTATTTTAGAGAGAAGGAAGCTTCAGAGATATTCAGGATGTCTCCCAAGCAAGTATAACTTAGATTAAGTCAGACAGTCTGGGATTAATTCAGTGCATCACATGTCACCTTGTAGGTGGTAGGTGCTCAATACATATTTGCTTAATGAAGGGGTGACAAAAACCATGATTCTGATGCCATACCCAAGGCACTTTCTACTTTCACAGCTGCCTTTAAGTCACATGGAATTATGCAACTGCTGTGGAGGCAGCAAGAAACAGAAGTAGTAAGAATAAAGGAATTTTTCTAAACTGAAAGTGAAGAGGAACACTGTGAGGTAGAAACTACGATTTCCATTTTACGGATGAGGAAACCAAAACTTAGCACCAGGGACAGTTCTCTGTGCGTCACTCACCTTTCCACATGTCTTCAGAGCAGAGGTACTAACTGCCTTTCTTCCAAACTATCCTTATAAGGATATGTTTGTGTAGTGAACAAGTTTAGATGACAGAGGTAGTGACTCCATCCAGAGCAAAGGCAGAGTTGTTTATTGGTCCGTATAATAAAGATAATGTCTCCCTCCAGGACAAAGTTCAGGTGGGCTTATGAAATCCATTATGAAAGATTCAGGTTTTCTACGTTCAGGATTCCTGTCTAGTAACCCAGTGTATGCAGTTGTTACCTGACTCTCTTTATGTCTTCCAATGGGAACTGGGGTTCTGGAAGTGGCACAAATGCTAATACTCTGGCTACGGCTATTGCTCTGAGTAATAAATCCCTTTCTCTCTGACCTAGGGGCTTGTGTCTTCTGAAAACATCCATGAAATGATGGCAGACTAACATGTTAGCTTGCAAATAGGGTCAAATCTCACTTTTCATTGTTCTTGATGTTTAGCAAGACTCAAAAGCATCTAGCTCATAAATACTGGGATTTGAACCTAGGTGTGATGGACCTCAGAACCACAGCTCCTGACCTCCACTCTTTATTATTTCCCATGGAAACAGGCATGAATCATCTCAGCAAGAGCCCATGGTGTCATGCTGTCATGGTGTAACCGAAACTGTTTTATTATTACATTCTGAACTGACAAAGTCCAGAGCTCATTTCATTTTGTTTTCTTTTATAAACCTTGAAATTATATCCAGCCTTATTCAAAGGCAAGGGAAATGGGTGACTTAGATTGTATGAGGGGTAGGAGAAGGTCACCTGCCAGCAGATGTGATGTTTCCATTGTGAGCAATTCACATTTTCCTATTGAGGCATTGTCTGCCAAAATGCCGTATTTTGACTTGGTTCAATATACCAAATGGCTGTTAGCTTGGAACCTTAGTTTGAATTAGTTTGATGACTTGACCTTTCCAAAAATGGGGAGTTGAAAAGTAGAGTTCTATAAAATGAGCCAAAACAAAACAACAAAGCAAACAGTTAAAAGGTCTCAAATGTGAGTTAGGAAACTGCCAGCTCCTGTATGACGTTTAAAAAGTCACTAGATTTCTCCAAGCTTTAGTTTTTTGAAAATCTGTAAAATTGAAGTAATTATCTCAATGGATTGCTTTGAGGGTCTTATAGATAAGGTTATCAAATTTAGAAAATAAAAATACAGGATGCCTAGTTATAGTTGAACTTCAAATATGCAACAGATAATGATGTAGTATAAGTACATCCCAAATATTGCGTACAACCTACTAAATAATCTGTTTTGCATCTGAAATTCAAGTTTAACTGGGTATTCTATATTTTATTTGCAACACTCCAGATAAATAATATACTGTAAAGCAACCTTGATTTGAGGATTTGTATTTAAATAATTTACTAAGAAACTGCTCCCAGGGCTGACTGTGACCTTTAAGGGAGTAGGAAGAGCAGAACAGGGAGGGGAGGAGAAAGCCAAGCAAATGCAAAACTTCAGGGAAATCCTGCAGAGCAGAGCTTCAGCCTGATCCAGCAGGGAGCTCTGGGATGTGAGTGACCTGGCAGATATGTCTCAACCAGAGGTGGAGAAGCTGGAGCTTGATATTACTTGCACCTCTCGGTTAGTGATTAAGGGGTACTTTCAGCTCTCTCTAGTAATTGGCAATGCAGGTCCAAGGACCCTAGGGAAGCCCTCTAAAGAAGATCTGCAAATGCAAGTCATTGAAAAGGAAAACACATAGGGTGTGTGGGGACTGGTGGGGCAGCAACAGAAATGAAAAAGCATCTGAGGAAACTTGGAAAGGACACCAACTGCATGCAATGTAGTGCCCTATAAACTCATAGAGTACCATGTATGGTTGGTAACAGATTAAAAGGCAATGAGAAACAGGATTCTCAGTGAAGAAACCAAAGAGATAGTGAACCCTACTCTCCCAAATGGTAAATGTCATAATTCTTCTAATAGTTCTAACAATTAGAATTGCCAAACGGTAAATGTCCTAATTCTTCTAATAGTTGTTCTAGTAGTTCTAACTAGATTTTGACGCTCATTGAGGAAGTTGGGTAGCATCTCCTCTCCAGTTTCACTTGCATGTATCTGTGAATAAAATGAGCTTTCCTTGAATTCAGAAAGACAGCAGCCCCTACAGAACAACCTCCTCTTCGCTGTGCTGTTGAAAGCCCAGCTGGAGGCAACTATAAACTTACAACCACCAGCCCTTGCAGGACATCTCTTAGGGAAACTACAGGGCATAATTTTGAAGTCCATGAAGTGCTACATGGCTTTGTCTAAAAACTCATGGAGAGAAATTGAATGGCCTTAAACTGATGCCCAAATTGCATATTTAAGAAACCTTCTAATTTGGAGGAAGTCTCCCCAGGAGGCTTTCTATGCTGCTTGGCCTATAAAACTCTAAATATTAAAATTAAAACTAGCGAAATACACAACTAGAAAATAACATCTATTGAAATCATAATTTATTCATTTGTTTGGTTTTTATTCCCCTTCTCTCTCCTTCAAATAATACCTCCACGACAAAAGGATCCTCTAGTATCACACTCACTCCCCCTCATTCATGTGGGAGACTCCCAGGATGCAAAATGATAGGCAGCTGGGGCAGGGCATTTTGCCACTGCCTTGTGCATTATTTAGAGGTGAAAAGGAGCAAACTGAGAAGCTGGGGAAAGAAGAAAAGAGTCTTTGGCAAGACACATTGGAGTATTTCTTTTTGAGAAGTGAGTGTTTTGGAATAAATGAATGGTGTAGTAGCAAAGTATAGAACAAGGTCTCTCAATTCTGTTAGCTTCCAGGTACTAAGGCTGTCACAATGATAATGACATGCCTTTTAACTGTTGAGTCCCTCCCTCCAAGAAGTTCCACCTAAGGAGATTATTTTAATGGAACCATGGTTCTTGAAACTGACCACTAGGGAGTATTTCTCATCGAAATAGTTTAGCAACATATAGGTCTTTAGTGACTTTAGCCACAAGAATTTGGGAAGTTGGGATGTTTCCAAGCACAGTGTAATGAGCTCCTTTCAGAGAGGCACAGCTTTCTACAGCAGAACTTCCCAATCACTGTGCCACAAATGGATAAAGGCAGGGTAACCATATGTCACCGTTTGCTGAGGCAGTCTTGGTTTATATCTGTAGTCCCAGCAAAATTATTAATAGTGCCTCCTATCACTAGAACCATTGTCCTAGTTTGGATGACAAATATGAATGATAAAATGTATGGTTATATGTGTGCCAAGATTTTTATCTCCTTAGTCTTCGGGGTGGCTAGAGTCACAGGGCTGTTTGCCTCAGGCTGTGAGCAATCTTGTCTATTTTGTTCCAATCTTCTATACAAATATTAACAGTGGGCACAGGATAACTATGAACACTGCCATGGAGACAAGGGGGTCTTAGGTGAAAGAAGAAATAAGTACAGAGAAAATTAACATCTACGATGCAAGTAATGCAGCCAAACTTTCCTTGTGAATTTGACAAATAGAAGTACTTGTAGTTCTCCTGTAAAGACTATCTAATTCAAAATTGTCCAATAAAAACAAAATGCAATCAAAACCGTAATATACCACTTCACATTCTTTAGGATTCCTAATGTTAAAAAGTCAGAAAATAACAAATGTTGATGAGGGCATGGAGAAATTAGAAACTTTGTACACTTCTGGTGGCATCTTGGAGAACAGTCTGACTGGTTGTTCCTCAAAATGTTACATACAGTTATTATATAACCTGGTAGTTCTACTCCTAGGTTTATACCCAAGTGAGATGTAAACAATGTCCACACAAAACCTGGTACATGAATGTTTATAGCAACATTATTCTTAATAGGCAAAATGTGAAAACAACACAGGTATTCATAAAGTGATGAATGATAAAATTTGATGTACCCATACAATGGAATATTATTCAACCATAAAAAGAGTGAAGTATTGGTACATGATGCAACTTAGATGGACCTAAAAAGCATTAGGAGAAGCAAAATAAGCCCATTGCAAAAGACCATATATTGTATGATTTTATTTGTTCGAAATATCCAGAATAGGCAAATCCACAGAGACAAGGATTAGATTAATAGTTTCCAATGGGCTGCAGGGAGGGGAAAATAGGGAGTGACTGCTAACAGGCAAAGGTTTATTTTTGGGTTACATGAAAGTTTTCTAAAAATAGAAAGTGGTGATGGTTGCAAACTCTGTGAATATACTAAAAATCACCGAGTTGTACACTTCAAGAGAGTGAATTATATGATATGTAAATCATATCTCAATAAATCCATAGCTTAATAAGTATATAAAATGCAAGCCACATGTATAATTATAAATTTCCTATTAGACACATTAAGATAGGTGAAAACGTGCATATGATTTTAATCATGCCCTTTATTTTTAACCTAATATATTCAAAATATCATTTTAACATATAAGCAATTTTTTAAATTGGTAAAGTACTATACATTCTTTTTATTGTACTCAGTGTTAAAAATTCAGTTTTACACTCACAGTACATCTCGAGACTAGCCACATTTTTAAAACTCAAATATCACATGGTACTGGTAGCCACCATAGTAGAGAACGTGGGTCTAACTAATGGTTGTTAATAGCTGCTAGCTTATGGGTTTTGTGTGTGTGATAAGGCTACATCTGAAGACTAAAATAGCCTAAGCTCTTGAGTGAGTTTAGTAGAAGTGGAAACAAATGAAAACATGTTTCATTAGGTTGTGATTATTCTTAGGGCCAGCTTGTTTGTACCTTCTAGCGTTATTGGTTATGCTGCCAAAGTAAATGTGGGACGCAGATGTTTTTGCTTTTTGTGGAAAAAAACACAAAGATACTAATTGAACCCATTTACCATTCATATTTTGACCTCCCAGATAAGTGTGTCCCAGCCACATGGTGAGTTAGCCTTCTTTGAAAAACTTCAACTTGCATATCATTTGCATCATTTCTCTACTTTCTGAAAATCAGCCTAATACTCATTTTGACACTTCTAACTTATCTTGAAAATCCCTGTTTTTTCATGTTCTAATTTTCTGTCCTAATGTCTAATTTTCATGTTCTAATGGTTTCAGTTCCTTCAGGTCTTGACAGCATAGTATAGAATACATCCTAACTGACTCTATGTTGTTCTGCCCATCCCCTGATTTCAAAGAGATGTAGGGTTTTCATTCTCCTGTGGGGAGATGTAGGGGTTATTCATGAAGCAGAGACAGGAAAAAAAAAACAGAATATGGGGAAATAAGCAGATCTCTTTCCTAAAGCCGAGGTTTTCTAAGGAATATGGAAAATAAGAGGTTCCTAAAGGAAATTTCTTGCCTGACCAAAAGCATAATTATTTCTCTCATTAATTTAGGTGGATGTGTGTTTATGTTGACAACAGAGAATAAAGAGGGTGGTAAGCTCTATGCAAAGAGGGCTGTAAAGAACAGCTGTAAAGACATTTTCTTATGAGAATGAGAAGAGAACTACCTTTGCAACTTCAAAAATGGAGACAAGGTATTTGTACTTTTTGTTTTTCTACTAGACAGTGAAGTTCTTGGGACCCGAGAGCAGGGTTTTATCTTGTTCCTCTCTTTCTCCACATCTTAGTCCATTTTGTGTTGCTATAACAAAATACCAGAATTGCCTAGAATACTGGGTAATTTATAAACAAGAGAAATATATTGGTTCACAGTTCTGGAGGTGGGGAGTCCAAGAGCATGACACTGACATCTGGTGAGGGTCCTCTTGCTGTATCATTGCATTATGGGAGACAGAAGAGCAACAGAGTGCGAGAGAGCAAGAAGGGGCCAAACTTGCTTTTGTAACAATCCTACTCTCAAGATAACTAACCCACTCCCATGATAAGGACATTAATCTATTCATGACCAAATCACCTCTTATTAGGCACCACCTTCCAACACTGTTGCACTGGGGATTAAGTTTCCAACACATGAACTTTGGGGAACACATTAAAACCTTAGCACTACAGTACATATTTCACTCATTCTACAAGCAACCATCCTGACCTGAGTTTGACTTGGGAAAGTTATTACAACAAAGTTCCTGTTCTTGATCCTTTGGGAGCTCTCTCATTATCTGTGTCTTAGAACTTGGTTTAGCTGGCTCCAGGGCTTTCATGATGGATGAGGGTGTAGATTGGTTAGTTCCTCTTGCAATGGCCACTGCGTTAGTTATCATAAAATTTCATGTAGAGCAGTGTTTCTCAAAGAGTGATTGAGAAATCACTGTTGATGTCCATGGCTGGGCATCAACAGCATCACCTGGGAATTTGATAGAAATGAATAACTGTAGGTCCCTCTACAGATTTACTGAATCAGAAAATATGTTTTAACAAGCCCTCCAGGTGATTGTAATGTGTGCTAATGTTTGAGAATGCTGATATAGAGCATTCTGTACTACATTGATAGTGTCTCCTGCTTCACTTGAGGGGCTTTACAAATACATAAAAATGGAAATTGTAGAAGAACTCCATCTGACAAAAGTTCAAATAGTAGAATTAGAGAAAAGATGTGCAAAAACAGATTTGGGAATAATAATCAGATCATTTGTTGAATGCCTGTCATGTGTAAGACACTCTTCTAGCACCTTTTGCTTACATTCTCTCTATTCCTGACAACAAATGTAAAAGGTCAGTAGTTATATATCCATTTATATCCCTATTTTATAGCAGATGAAACTTATTCAAAAGAGGTTAAGTAATGCATTCAGGGTCAACAGCTAATAAGAGGCAGCAGTAAATGGAAGTTGAAGCAAAGTCTGTTCACTTACAGAAACTAGACAGGAATAAATGTATGAATTTTGAGCTGTTGGTAAGTGGGGTAGTGTTATTATCCACTTTTTTATTATGAAAAATGTTTCATGGCTGGCATTGCATTTCTACTCTGTTTTAAAATATATTTTGGCAACAGCCATGAGCCAGTTCAACAATATATGTCAGATTTGTTTAAAGGATTTTCAAACGGTAGCACAAAGACCAAGCCTGTGCAGATCTCACATGTTCTTGTGTTTGATAACATCTATTGTTTACAAAATGAAAATGAGAGATGCTTTATCACAAGGATTGTTCAATGGATTGGGCTTCTTACTGCTAATATGACTTGAGACTGTGAACTCAAGGATGAGAGTGAGAGCAAGAGAGATAGAAACTGTAAACTCTGTTATTTTCAGGGACTAGGTAGAAAAGGGAAAGACTATCTAGACCACTGACTTTTAATCTTGTTTGATCAAAACCCACAGTTAGAAATACATTTTGTAATACATTTCAGGACATACATATTTATAAAACAATCAATAATGAACAGAATATTTGTAGTTAGTATGCATGACAAACACTGATACTTGCTATTTTAGTCTATTTAACTTTTCATACTAACCACCACCCACTGTAGAGATTTTGCATTCCACTAAGTAGCAACTTGCAATACTGAAAATATTAGAATATTGAAAAACATTATATACAGCACACATTTTGGGGCAATTGAGGTGCTTTTAGGGCCTGGAATAAGGAATTAGTATTCTTCTAATGGGAAGAAGATAATCAAAGAGGCGCTCATCTTGAATTGTAGCACCCATTATTCCCACATGTTGTGGGTGGGACCTGGTGGGAGATAATGGAATCATGGGGGTGGTTCTCCTACACTGTTCTTATGGTAGTGAATAAGTCTCATGAGATGTGATGGTTTTATAAGGGGAACCCCTTTTGCTAGGCTCTCATTTTCTCTCTTGTCTGCCACCATGTAAGATGTGGCTTTTTCCTTCCACCGTGATTGTGAGGCCTCCCCAGCCATGTGGAACTGAGTCCATTAAACCTCTTTTTGTCTACAAATTACCCAGTCTCGGGTATGTCTTTATTGGGAGCATGAAGACTGACTAATACACCAGGGGTGGCTCCACCCCTTTTGGGGCATTTGGAAATGGCTGTGAGCATGATGTAGCTGTCACAATGAGAGTGAACACTACTGGCATTTGGTGATTGGAGGATGGAATGCTGACTGTGGTGAGGAGCGTGGGCAATCTTGCACAGCGAAGTTTGTCCTGCCCAGCATGACCGTAGCTCTCCAATGGAAGAATGCAATGTGGACCTTTTTGCCACCAAGCCAGTCTGGTCCCTTGGATCCCTAGCAGCCAAAGGCTAGATCCCAGGGACTCTTTAGGCTAGGATCCTGTGGTTCCAAATGACTAAATTAATACCCCAGTCCAAATTAGTGATGGAAAGAAAGCTATCAGGGAAGCAGCATGAATGACCAAGGCAGAATTTCTCAACCTCAGCACTGTTGATATTTGGGGCCAGATCATTTTTTGTCCTTGGGAGCTACCTTGTACTTTCAAATATATTTAGCAGCACCCCTGGCCTTAATGCTAGATGTCATAAGCACTGCTTTTCACCCCCCAGTTGTGACAACCAAAAGTATTTCCAGATATTTCCAAGTGTCCCAAAAGGGCAAGTACCCCTCATTAAGAATCACCAGTCTAAAGTAATGAAGAGAAACCCAGACAACTTTTTAAATGAATTTCATGTAAGAACAGGCGCTTCACAAGCAGCATACCTGGAACAAGCCTGCTGCCTCCTGCAACTTTTCTGAGTCAGATGGAATCAATGCAACACATCAGTGGTTTATGGTCTTTTATATTTCCCTAGGTTGCAAGTGGTTAGATAATCATTTTACAGCCTACCTACATCATGGATCCAGGGCCTTGTTCTGTTTGTTTATATGTGAAATATATAAATTGAAGTCTGCACAGATTCCTGGTAAAATCCGGTTAAGACAATGTATGACACATGGGGCCACTGCAGTTATTATCAAAACAACGTACAAAAATAAGCATCACCCCTCTGTTAAGGTTCCTTAATTTTCACTGTGTTTCCTTTCTATTTTATCACATCAAGCTAAAGGTAGTGTTGCCTTCAAACATTTGCTTTCACAATATAAAGCTGTCTTTTCAATGTAAATCTTACTTTCAACTTCCTTAGGAAACATGCTTTGGATTTAGGTGTCACGGGTGGTAACTGTCCTTATAGAGTACTGTCGTGTGAACAAAGGTGATATTTGTAGAATGGTAATTAATCACATGCAGCAGGTATTGCTTGAATCTTTTTAGAATCCTCTGACTGTGCATGTTCAGGGAATGATGGAGTGTTTGTATACTCAGTCAAAGTGAAAACATTTTGTTGTTTCCAGACAAAACAAGCCTCTCTTAAAATTTATTGAATTACAGTTTCTGATAAATGAAATGATCTATGCATTTGTTAGAATTTTATCCTTTTAACATTAACTACATTTAGAGCTGAAAAGAATAAAAATTTATTCTTTGAAATTCGTGTTATTGGACAATAAGAGGATCACAGGATTTGAGTAAAAAACAAAAACCAAAAACAAACAAAAAACAACTACCTAATTCTTGGCCCTGAAACACTTTAATAAATAAAATGAGCTCCTTTCCTGTAAATAAAAATTGCTAAAATGTGCAATGTAGACTAGACAAATTCAAGACCAATAAGTACAGTTTTGGTCCTTGTGAATTTTATTATTTCTGCCATTGATTTAGTTAAGCAATCTTTGGCTGGAAAGAAAATAACATTCCTGGCATATGCCTAGGAAATATTAAATTATCCAGGCAAATGGGTGTGTTTGTTTTTTGTGCAAGGAAGACTAATAGGAATTATTGCCATCTTCATGGAAATACAGAGATCATAGGTCGCTTGTACTGAAATGAAGGTGCTTCTGTTTCATGCTCTTAACATTTATATATTTGATTTCAAGTTAAGTGATATGTTGAAGATTAAACATCTTTGGATAAAATGAGTGTGGAAAGACACATCTGATCTCATGTCAGTCTTTTCCTACTGAGTAGTGCTACCAACCCAATATACACACAACCACACTCTCCATGTTGAGCAGGCATGGACTTAATGTTCCCTCTGGTTGATGCTTAAGGGTGCTTAAGATCCTGCTTGAACAGCCCACCTCTGCTCAGAAAACTAGCTATCTGATAGCCAAGCACCCTGGATACAAGACTTAAAGGAATTAATTCTCTATTTCATACCTGGTTGATCTCTTCATACATGCAGAAATCCACGAGTGGCCCACGCTATTTGAAATTCTAAATGAAGGAATTTTCACAATACTTATTTATGCCAAACTGATTGTGGTCAACCATCTGCTCTCTGAGAAACTCTTTAGAGAGAAAAACGATAGGATAAACAAATACTGGATTTAGCAATCAGAAAAATTATTCCTGAAACTTTTTCTCTAACTTCCCAACTGGGCAACTGTGGACAAGTTGCTCAAACTTTTTGATCCTCACTGTCCTTGAGTGTTAAGTAAGAGTTACCATTTTAACTACCCTATATCTCAATATTGTTGTGACAGTAATATATCTCAAATTGCTTTGGAAGCTGAGTGCACTCAAAATGTAAGATACTGTTGTCGTTTTTTCAGTAATTGAAATTGGATTATCAGAATGACTGGACTTAGAGAATTAGCCAGAAATGT